TCAGCAAATTAACAGCCAGTTTAAATGCATTTGACGTTTCTTGTAGCGGTTGTACGAACGATGAATTGTGTTGCCATACTCATGCCCACAAGCAGTTTTACTGCTGACTCGTTAAACCCAGTAGAGTGGCTACATCATGTAAGATGTTGGACGGTTTCCTTACGTTGGGTACCATTGTGAACGATAATATTGGCGATCAGTTCGATCGACATTAATGGACATTAGATTAAATTAGTGACTCCTAAAAACTGCCAAGATTATCACATCAAGCTTAATTAACATTAACATGAGCGTCACTGTGACATTCGGTTCACAGATCACAAGCAGTGGCAACCATTCTGTCAAACGTTGCTATGCAATTCCTGACGTCTCGCGGCTTCCTGTCACTTACGCGAAAACCATCGTACAATCGTATTTCCGATCCGCTGGTCGAAGCTAATAGGCATTACTCGAAATAGTTATTCCTGTGAATTGACCCAAAACCCCGTAACACAAACAACTGCGTGTACAGTGTTTTGCCAATCAAGGGATGCATTTGTAATTTGCGGTTGGTAAGATACCATTCTGGTTCAAATCACAGGACCAAACAGATGACTAAATCATCGCTTTGTATCAATTTACTTTCAATGTACACGATCACCTCTTGCAATGCATATTGCTTATGGAATTGAATATTATTTACGGGAGTGGCATGGAAGGAGGGGATATAGACACTCCTGACCTGCATACTGCCACCAATCTTCTATTTTCATATTTCCTCATAAATTCTTACACTGTCATTACATGTTTTAACGATTACTTCTTCCCTTATTGCATGTACATGTACTTGTCGATTGTTAGGCAGACATTTACCGTCTTTCAATAAAGAATGTTGATCAGTTAATTCATAATTCCTGGTAGTTTCTGTATGCCGTACGTAATTAAGTTTAATGTACACCGCTATTATGAGATACCATGCATCACTACTCTTTTGGGGTCTCCTGTGTGATGACATTACTTTCCCGTGTTTGCCGTGGTGCATGTACGCCACATATTCCACGTCCAGCTACTGTTTCAGTGTATTCACCACAACATGCAACCCGTGGGACGTCTTTAAAACCTTAACCGTTTTGTTTTGCAAACATTATAAACCGAGAGCACTAAAATTACATCGGATGATCTAAATATCAGGTATAACAGATTTATCCAAAGCATAGGGACGTGAGGGAAAACTCGTGTACTGTGAAGAAGGATCGATTTCGAGCGTTTAAACAGGCATGTCAATATATTGAAAGACACTATTGTAAATATGCTATGCCCAGTCACGATTTTCCATTGTCTGTCATCTGATACGATCCTTTGAAAGCTATAGAATGAATTGGTGACATACGCTGTTGTCAATGAAAAATATGCATTTGTCCAAAATGCCTCTGAATTAGAGTCGCACGAAGACATGTCCAGTTTCCGGTAGTTAATGGCATGTGCAACGTACGCTTTTATCATGGACATCGGGATGACGTATTGCAAGATGAGATGTTGACTGAGACTTATGATATTAAATCAGGTGGTCAAGGCCAGTTCAATTTGCTTAACACCTCAGCAATATGATCGTAAAGTTTTATAAAGGTGTCAGCACGTACCCAGGGAAATGTCCAAGACGTGGATGGAATAAAGGGTTGGTTTATAAATGTCAGTGATAGACAAGGCTGGCAGGGCGTTCCCCAGAGCACAATTCCATCAGTGACCCACTAAACCTATGAAAGGTTGTGCTATTGATACCATCGTTCGATCTGTTTAACGGTGATATTAATTCGCAGTATGTGGCGTTTTTCCAGTGTATGCACTAATGAGGCCTTTCTGGATATTTCGATTGAGAAAACACCCTTCTCCAGAATGTCTGATTGACGACCAGGACATGATGTATTGATTTATGTCATTTCGAAACGTGCCACTGTCTAGTGACCACTAAATTGTCAATTCACCCTTTAAATATTATTCTCAGAACAGGGATGTTTTAATTATTCTATACGTGATGCTGGTTTTAGTAGTACAACCTTTTAGTTTTCGGTAAGAATGAGAGGTGACAGTCAACTCTGATAGATATGCTGACATAGAATCAAAATTGGAGAGAATCAGATTATGACAGATTAATTCTCATGTCACAGAAGAAAGTAAAGGCAACGAAACGAAAGTGAAAGTCATATAATAACCTTGCTCAATCATAATCGTGTATGATCCTTTGAATCTGTTTGTAACTGCCCATCGCTTGGATACACGAACGATGAACAGGCCATTCGTGTCACATTGTGTTATTTTTTTATTTTAATTTCAGCATACTAAGCACTAGTCAGCACAATCAACTGATGAACTTGCCGGTTATCACGTAATTGCTTCAAGAACATTCTTCGAGCACAAGGCGCCCATAATTACAAAACGTTGTATGCAATGGCCATCAAGTCATACTGAAGCAATGTGTTGGCCACATCACATTACACTGATTTGGTTTGTTCAAGTACTACTCTTCTCGCACAACATGAGTGCTTTGGTATTGGAAGTAGCCTTCTTTCGGAGGACAAACACAAGCTGACATCCCGAAGTCATCATGAACCTACTTTTGTCGATTTGATTGAGTTGGTGTGCCGACGATTGTGTGTATTACATTGGATCCACTGGAAGTATTTTAAGAAAAACAAAACAAAAACTTATTACGACGAACAAAAGTCACAGTGTGTGTGTGTTGTGTTGTGTGTGCATGTGTGTGTGTGAGCGATATGTATTACTCATTTGCCACGTGTCACAACTATACATTTATTGAAATAAATGGTTTGGCAGTGTAACAGGGACATCTGACTGAGACTTGCATTAATCGTTGAACGTCAGATTTGTTAGTTTATTGGCCAAAGTACCCTACTGTCCATCACGTCATGTATTCTCAGCTTTTATTCTAAAGACAAACCCGGATTCGACGAGGCATATTCCTTAACAAACGTCCATTGTTAACGTGGTTCATTCCATACCGTTCGTCCTATAGTGCAGCACAAAGTTCGTTGAACGTGGTCGTTGGTAATCGATGGTGACCAACACGCCGTCAAATGATATCCCAGACATGCTCAATGGGGTCAAGTCTGGACTGAGCACTGGACATGGTGACATGGTGAGGTGGTTATGTTCTCAATAGCTTTGTCATCCTGAATAAAACACAGAATGACGTCCATGTCTGCGCACAAATGACACCACTTGTGCCTCTACCATGTTGTCACGGTAATATTGTCCATTGATACATAATAATAATAATTAGTCCATTTGTATTGCGCTAAATCCACACCGACAGCATGCTCATAGCGCAGACAAGATAGAATTTAGGAGTCTCTTGTAAAACATAGAGATAAGTTATGTCTTTAGGTTTGGTTTGAAACATGTGACTGTTGGGCTTGTTCTAAGGTGGGCTGGTAGCTCATTCCACTTCATCGCGGCCGCCACTTGATGGGAACGAAAACCATAGGATTTCAACTTCCATTTTTGAATGTGAAGTAAGGTTTTGTTACTGGAGCGAAGCTGTCTGCATGGAAGACATCCGTGAGAAACAGTGTTCTGTCAGTCACAGCCACAGAACACGTTCGTTCTGTCTTCACCATACCCTGTTGTACATGTCATGGAAGTCTGAAGTACCCCTCGTCTTATCCGTAAAACATAACGTTTGCCTAAAGATGACACCTTGACTCTGCGTCTTGCAGTAAAGTGATGATCCGTCAGTAGTGGGATAACACGTGAACGTCGGTCCTTCTGTGTAGCCGATTAAGAATCGTCAGTCCACTGACTCTAACCCAGTGTAGCTCTTTTATTTCTTTAGGATGAATTATCTGAAGTAACCAAACCAATGGTACGTGGACGGAGGAAGCCTTACATAAAACACCTGTTACGAGCAATTGGATTAACGGAGCAGTAGCTGGAGTGTGTGTGTTGAAACCCTGCAGTTCATCATGCTTTATTTGTGCTCAACTCCAGAAGGAAATTAAACTAACCCTAATGTATAATCAATTTACACTGGATCTGCAAGCACTGGAAAAGGCAAGATGCGTCTATTCCCGGACAAACTCTGGTATTTTTACGGTGTAGTGGATGTCAGTTTCCTGTCTGCCTGCTTTTTGATCTCAAGTTCTCTGTAATTAGTGGCTCTGTCGGATCTTGCTCCTGGCATTATGTGACCATTACAAGCCTTGGCTCAAGTAATACAACAGTATTGTTCAGAGCTTGCCTCGTTTGCGACATCTGACAACCTTTCAAAAGACATCGGAATAAGTTTTGTCATTAATATCAAAACGCCTCACTGGACTTTGATCATACAAGACGTTCATTTACATTGAGGGCATCTGCCCACGTACATTGTTACATACGGTTACCATTATGTTCTCAACATTGTCTTCATGAAAACATTTCAGCACATTTTTGCACGTGTTTTTGTATATGCAAGGTCATTATTACAGTGGTACTAGAAGAGGACATTAAAAGAGAAACGTCTGTTGATTTTGGAATACAAATATTAGCACAAAACTCTATTCAGGCTATATACTTGAATATTTATATATGGTACAATTACAGTATTTCTCGTTTCGATATAAATTGTGTATGTAGAGGCAGCATTCAGGGCGTCATGTGCACATGTACGACCTCTGGCCGCCAAGTCTAACTAAATATAGGGAATGATACGTGGGATCCTGAGCAAATCAGAACATGTGCAGTAAACTATGTGTTACAAGTGCAAATGCTTCAAGCCACCTCAGCATGCCAACGGCAAAGCTGATTCGTATAATAGAAAATGCGACAGTTGCAGTCTTTTAAGACTTCAGGACCCGGTTGTATCAAACTTTAATAAAGCTTTAATCGTTAATTAAACTATGATTAGTTAATCATTGATTATCTTCAGTTGCATGAAACCCTTAATAAAGGAATCCCTTCATTAATCCATCATTAAGCTAATGAAGGTTTGGGGGTATCATTAACTCATCATTAGCTGTATCAACATGGCAGACGACATAATGTTCCATCAACTTGGACGTCGGAGAAAAGAGAAACATTTTCGTGAACGGATAAATCACTTGGAAAATATGAGCAACGAAGAAGTCAGAGCGAGGTACCGTTTCGGTACTGAAGCGATACAGTACATCTGTGGGTTGATTGGCGACAATCTACGTCCTATGACAGCGAGATCTAGAGCACTGAGTGTGGAATTACAGGTACGCCTAACAATGATTAGTCTATTAAAATAGAAACTTTTCACGAAATACGCACTGTCACACACGGAAAGTAACTAAGTTGAAAACAGTATTTATTGAAGAACTGAATCTACACTTATTAATGAAAAATGGATATAATTACTAATCACAAATAATATATATTCCTTTGGGGAGAGCAATAGTCATGTCTTATCCAGTCTATTTTAATGATTACATACCCAAACACCACTCCATCTGAAAATTATCGTATCGCTGTCCAACAACAATGTCAAGGCCACTGTGATAAGGGAAGGAACTCTTGTCAGAAGTCCTAAACATACATTCAAAAGCGTACGAAATACTTAGATTATTGAAAGTTTGAATTTATTCCAGGTGCTAATAGCACTACCCTTCTATGCAACTGGCAGCTTCTTGCAAGTGATTGGCGACACGTTTGGAGTGGAGATATCTACTGTGTCAAGGGTTGTGCGAAAAGTTAGCGTAGCGCTAGCACGACTTCTACCACAGTTTGTTAAATGGCCTACCGTGGAAGAGTATTATAAGAAAGGAGTTCTATCGTCTTGCTAAATTCCCTGGAGTAATAGGCTGCATCGATGGAACTCACGTAAGAATACAAGGTCCCTCAACAGACGAACAAGCTTATGTAAACAGAAAAGGATTTCATTCTATAAACGTTCAAGCTGTTTGCAATCATCAAGGTACACGATGTGACATATTTACGAAATTCAAACGTACATCTATTAAGTATATAAAATACTAAATCACCTAGGTTGTATGGTAGTGGTGTGAATAATAAGCTAAACGGCTTGTCCACCAATCCTAATTCATTTTATTGACTCGAATACGTTTAAGCCCAATAAACAGATGCGAAATATTACGTAAACGTTTCAAGGGAAATTAGTCATTGTGTGAATGAATACATTATATATTTTCACCTGTTCATATTCTCTACAATGTGAAGAGTATATATTGATTAATTATGATATATTGATACGTATTTACACATAATTTGTTACTGTTTTATCAGGAAAGTTCACAAATGTAGTGGCAAGATGGCCTGGCAGCACTCATGACAGTCACGTTTTCAAAATGAGTCAACTTGGACAGAGCTTGCAAAATCAGAAAGCTACACTTCAAACAGGAATTATTCTTGGGGACAGCGGCTATGCTTGTCGTCCATTTCTTATGACACCATACATGCGAACTACTTCTGAGGACCAAGAGAACTTCAACTCCGCTCAGAAAAGGACGAGGGTCACAATAGAGCGCGCATTTGGGTGGTGGAAACGCAGGTTCCACGTTCTACATGGTGAAATCAGGCTGAGTCCAGGGAGAGCATGTACAATCATAGGTGATATTTTAAAAACATACGTCCACATTAAAATTCGTGAATTTCCCAGGACCCTTATTTCCCAAATCGACTGTTTAACCCCTTAACAATGGTTGATGAACAATTTTCCTTCATTGAATGTTGATTGGGTTCCAACTTGGTATGTGTTTGAGGTATATATCTGTCATTCTTAGTGTAGAATAAATATGAGTGCTAATAGTATCAAAGGAATATCAAACCTAAATCTCATTTTCCTAATTTCACATGTCCAGGTGCTTGTGCTGTTTTGCACAACATCGCCATCGATCTCTGGGAACCCATGTGCGAGACGGAAGATGGGGAGGAGGAAGAAGGCGACTTCGGCGCTGACTATGCTGGCCGGGAAGACGGACGAAACATAAGGGAATACATAACAAGAAACTTCATCAGTGCGTTGAAACTTTAATCAATAACTATCTCTTACTTGTTCAGTCAGACATAATACGTAGCACTGACATGTAGGTCAGCACTTGTAATAATCACTGTGGAATACATGTAATACAATCACATTATGATCATTAACATTCGCCTAACTCCTTCCGCAACTTCTTATTCATCAGCTCGTAGTAGGTGGTTTCAGCGATCAGTTTCTTTTTCTGCTCCAGGAGGACCTCATACTGGAGCTGTGTGACATCATCAGGCTTCACTTTCCTCTTGGAAATCCTCGGTCCTTCTCCCCTAGTAGATGCCGTGACTCTGAAACACGTCGTCAATATGACTGCATTTTCTGATTTACACTAACTTACGACATGTATATCAATTAACCTACATGCCATAAATATTTGTCATACTAAGTAATAAAACATCCCGTCATTCTTAATTTTGTGATCATAACTATATATAAAGGTTAAACTGCTCTTCCTGCCAGTAGCAATAAATATAAACTGCATGGTATTATTGAAAACTTGAATAAGGGAACTATTACACCTATATATCTACATACCCGTCTTCGCACAGACTCTTGCTCTCCACGGAGGACTGTAAGTTGCCTTCAGCTGCAATATCAGCGGTGTAGCTACAGCTTGGCATCTCTGCATCAAGCGATGGGACGGCTACATCATTATCATGTTGCTCCTGCAACACGCGACTCAACAAGTCCAACGTTGTAGGAGAGCCATGGATCTCTACACTTTGAGTTTCTGAAAATAGATAGGAATTTTGGTTTGTTTTTTTAAATTAGATATAAAATATGCCACCCTTCCACAAAGTCATTGAAAATAAAATAAAAATGACAGATGCAAATACGGACCCGAGCCAAAAATATTTGCCACTTAACTTAATTTCAATAGACTTTAAAGTGAATGTAGTGTAGAAAACACAATTTTTATTTAATTAATTCTGATGGAATCGGAAAATTCTGTCGAAATTCTGTGGGTGTAGCTGAGATGATTACTGTGCTCACTTTAATTAGGACCCAACGAAAATTAAATTCATGGAAAATATTTATGCTACACGAAATTAACATACAGTATAAGTCTCTGGAAATTACATCACATTACTGATACTGTTGACACAGGCCTGTATTTCCTGCAGCGTTTTTTATTTGATGTAATTACATTACGAGTTTTCGATGATAATTCCCTGAAATATTCTAAATTTTAAAGCATAATTAATAATAACAGCAGCGTCAAATGCGTCTGTCTGTTACTAACTTTGCTATATTTTTGCACAACCTTTTTAATATTGTCGCTTCTTAAATATTTGCATTGTGAGAAACATAATAGGAAGCGTATGCAAAGTGTAACGGGATGGGTTCCATGTACAAAAATAGTAACAGGGGGACTTCACTCTTGTGAGAAAAGAGTGAACGGCCTTCACATTGATTTGGATATTCGTTGAAAGACGACGCACGTTATGTACAGCGGGTGAAATGTGATTGAATAAAGTTCAACTGCATTGTACAGAAGGTAAGAATATGAAATGAAACTGTCCGCAATTTCGACATTATGTTTTGAAGTCGCAAGCTAGCCTATGTCTTCGTCTACTTGCTATTTTGTTTTAATACTTGCATCGACATACATAATCTATACTAACATCAATCAAAATTAAAATTAATGATCTTTATTATCAGTTTGTAGAAATATTTACCTTGCAAGGGAACAGGAGATTCCACTCCGGCCACACCGTTGAAACATGCGGAATCCGAATAAATATCCATGATTTTCTCGATGTAAGAGGAAACAGGCTTGGGACATGGACCGCCACCAGTTTTTTGCGTTTGAAGTTTTCTATCTGAAAACTCTTTTTTTGCATTTTGAAACATATTATTCCATTTTGTCTTGATTTCTTTGGACGTCCTATTGCTTACCCCAAGGCTATTGATCTCGGCCGTTATTTTGTCCCATATCTGCTTCTTTTTGTCATTAGTTATTGAGTTGGTAAGTTTGCTGTTTAGCACACCGATATGATCTTCAAGTTGTATTTCACAACTTTCAAAGTTTTTGCTGCGATTTCTGGCGGCAGCCATGATGCAGACGATCGATGAGTGTTTACATGCAATGCATCATGGATAATAATTAGGGGATTCTCCTAAGTTAATCATGGTTTAATGACGGGACCTTTATTAGAGGCATACTTAGTTAATGGGTGTTTAAATAAGGGTTTATACAACCGTATTTAAACACTTCATTAACTAATCAAACATTAAGAATTTAATCAATGATTAGTGTTTAATTGATGATTACATAATTACGCGTTGATACAACTGGGTCCAAGATATCAAAGGGCCATGTAGTGACGGGTCAATACATCAGTTTGATATTTTCTCAGATCAAGTCGGCATCTAGTCCCTACAGTAGCCAGTAAACAAATTATCGCGTCACATACAAGTATTATGTCATTAAGAAATAAACAGCTAAAAGATCGATATATTTCGTTTTTAGGGCAATCTCAAGGAAAGAGGAAGGTTATTTTACGAGGTATCCATTTTAGTTTTCTAGAGGCGAGATATGATAGACAAAAATATATACGTGTTGACACTACTTGGCATCACTGATGTGATAAACAACAGCAAAAATGTTTTTTCATGTGGATAGTTCAGTAGAAATCCATCAGGGTTGGAAGAATGTGGTACGTCATTATTCTTAACCCGTGTCCATAGCATGCTGAGGAGAGTACATGTGGTTTTATCCGGAGTAAGTCAAACCATAATATCAGCTTCCTATTTTACCATCTATCTAATTATCTTGAAGGGCAATTACACATATTATAAGATTGCGCTGATGGTGTTTCAATTAACAATAGCTGCCCACCCCCATTGCAACGAAAGTGGTAAACGACATATATAACTACATATCTGTACATAAACCGTATATAATTAACATTCCTCTTGCTGTACGACGTGAATGTGTATTAGGTCACATTCTCCGATCCCGCAATTTTATGACGCCATTGGTGAAAAATCTGTTAAGTTCCATCTTTTTAAAAGCAAAAGAAACTACGGGGCCATAATGGCATAAACAACGTCATTATGTCACACTGAAGCAAATTGTTGGCCACGTCACATTATGCCAGATAACATCGTTTAAGTACTACTCTTCTCACAAATTGTGTGTGCCTCTGTATAGAAATTAGCTTGAGTTGGGCGGGCAAACACATGTTAAGCTCTCAAAGTAAACTGCTTTTCACGAACTAATTAGATCCGTGTGTTGAAGATATTATGTGTTGAGTCAGTTTGGAGCCAATGTGAGAGTGTTTAGGGAGATTTTCAAAATCTCTTTATAGCGACTGCAAAGTATTTTTGGAAACTATATTGTAGAACCCTGCTATGCTAGTGGTGTACTAAGCAATTATAATTTGAGGAAATATTGTGAAACGAATTTAGGTTGTGATGGATTAAGTAAATTGATATACCATAACCTTCCATGAACAAAACAAACTACATGTAATCATTGCTGGAAAGTTGTTTCAATCAGTAAGGGCCTTATTTTGTAACATTTAGCATGTGTTTATGAAAACAAGTTCTTCAAATGTTTTCCTCAAGTTCTGAAAATATTCCTGAGAACACAGAAACGTATACGTATTTAATGAAAACATTTCTAATCAACAATTTGAGCCGCCCTTTAGAGCACTGGTTGTATTGTGTAAATACAGCGTCTATTTTGTGGATAAAAACCCTTGATGTTGAGCAATTTCAATTCCAAACTCTCTTGAAATGCTGCTTATCCGGCTTTCCTTGGCAACATATTTTTTATATATTTCTGCAAACGTCTATGCAAGAATTCAGTGGAGTGTTAATGGAATACAAATCCTTGTGAACATTTCGCAGTTTCGAAGTAAGCAAAGGGCTCTCACTCACTCACTCACTCACTAGTTCGTTTTTATCGCTCAGTTGCCTTTTCTGGAATACCTTTGATTACAATGGAATTCCTTCTGATTTGTTTTAAGCTAATTCAGTTTCTTGTTATGATGTTTTGCCTCTTCCAAAGTGTAACCAAAAAGCAATGAGAGTTGACGTGAACAATTTTGTTTCATAACACTCAGAATGACAAAAACCTAATCCAAAAGACTGTATGACGAGAGGGCTGACGTCATCTTAACAAAGTACTGTGACCAAGTGTCCCAGTCCACCCAGCTGTAAATAGGTACCTCGTAAGGATAGGAAAGCCGTAATAACTTAGTGCGCCTATTGGTTGCAAGAGTTGTGTCATCCCCAGGGTGTTGAGATTGATAATATGATGTGCCGTTGAGATTGGCATCCAATGATTGAGAGAAAAACCGTTGCCTTGAGCATATACTAGCAGTTACGTGGATATGTGCGGTATATTACTATCCTATGATAATGCATCATTTCTACAGATAAGGCCGTTGGTGTCGACATTCCAGTAAGTCTGTGTACGTCGCCTATACAATGAACGTCATCGCCCATCTCACACACACTCACACCCGGTGCATCACGTCGCCTATTGCGACAGTACAGATTTCTTGGAAACACAAAATCTCGACGAGGCCCCGTTTCCTACTTGTATCAACTGGGCGTCGACAAATATTTATGCATGCTTTTAATCAATTTGTTCAAGTGATTCGATGAAATACCCCTCGTAAGATCTGTAAAATTACAATGTAGATCAGGCTTCTCGATCATGTCTTTTACTACGCGCAGGTGAGTTGCAACTGACACGATAGATAGAATCTGATTGATTTGAACGAGAGACCCATAGGAAAGGGAACTCAAAATAACCATTGGTGGCACTGTAATTGGGCCACTACATTCCAGCCCCGCCCAGCCCGGCAAGAGTGGAAACTCTTAACACAATGATACATGACCACCAACATTGCATATTTACACTCATCTGGAACGTCAACCATACTCCCAACAGGCACACAAGCACAAACGTGTGTCAAACACCTGCATACATACCTCCTTTTACCAACACTATTTTAATAAATATAGTGCATCCGTATTTTCTAGATTGCAACTACACTCATACCGATAGTGTTGCTATTTTATCAATCAGATTAATGCAATAAAATGTACTCGTGTATGTTACCTATATCAGGTTTTGGTCGCGGCAGCTTGTTGCAATTCACCTGTCCTTTTGTAGACTGTTACACAGGCTATATTTTATCATCAACCAGAACACCCAATTCCGTTCACCTGGCTGGTCATTCGTTATGAATGGATGGGGGAAGTCTGACCGAAAAAAGACCTGTGGTATGGTGGCAAAATAACTGAACATTAGCTGGAGCAGCGTATGTATGGACATCCTGATGTCCGTCCTGTCTGCTTTCTGCCAAACCCAGAAGAAAACCATCCTTCTGCACAATCGATGAATCTTGATCTGCAACCGGTAGAAAAGGGATGAGACATTTGGCTCCGGAGAAGCCACAGTGTTTTCATCGTGTATTTGATTTCGGTTTCCCGTGTGCATTGGGATTTCACTGAGACAATTTTCAGTCGGAACTGGCTCATGGCAACTTTTGAAAAAATTTTTCCGCCAATTAAAAATTTATAGCATACAGATGTATTCGAAAGAAATATGTCCTGAATTGAAGTTGTTTTAGATATAGACGTTGTTCGATCAACAGTTTAAGCAAAAGTATCCACAGAGACACAGCTGTAAAATTCTCATTTTGTCTTCGGAATATAACTGTTTCTAAAGACACTTAATTAAATCGAATACAATGTTTCCGATCCCACAAATTGAGCTTCACTTTGCTATGAAAGTACACGATCTTCAATCAATAATTGTATTATGCAACTAAAAATCTATCAATTGAAAGAAAGTGTTGATTTTTAGCTATTTCCACTACAAATTGAATAGATGTGCTGCTGCACCGAATTGAATTGGAAGATAGCTCAGCTTGAAATCGTATTTACTTCCGAATTCTTTCCATCATGTCTCCAGTTTACACCATACGAATTGATGCCATGCATGGAACGAGTCCACGAAAGATAACTGTACAGTACAACCAGAAATTATTGAGAATTTAAAGATTTTATTTTTATTATTTTTTTCTCTCATTACTCACGTGTTAATGTGAATATTAGCAGAACATAACTCCAGATTCAAAGACAGGTGAACAGTTAGTATTTTGTCAAGTCACCATGGGAACCAATGCAGGCTTCAATGCGGCAGGGCATACTACTGATCAAAGAATTTAGAAAGTCGTGGTCCATGCGGTCCCAATATCGGACCACCTCTTCTTTCATTTCAGCAATATTTGTCAGATTTTTCTTATTGATACTTTCCTCCATAAGTCCCCAAACATTTTCTATTGAATTTAGGTCAGGGCTATAGCTTGGCCAATCTAATAATGTCATATTTTGGGTCGGAAACCAGGCCTATGAAAGGTTTGAACAATATTTTGGGTCGTTGTCCTGCTGGAAAATCCAAAACTTTCCGTAGAACACGTAAGCAGATGGAAGTAAATGTCCCTTGGGAATATCTGTGCACCGCTCACTGTTCATCTTCCCTTCAAATACACAGAGGGGCGTTGTCCCTAACACAGATATGCCACCCCACACGTTAAATTTCGGACTGTACTTCAGGCGCTGATACAAAGGTTTTTCAGTTTGTTTGGTCCAGAATTTCAGTGTATTAGGAAACAGCCACACAGAACTTTCATCTGAGAAAATCACATTGTCCCAGTTAAAATTTCTACGCTGTATAAGCACCAGTTCAACCTTCGCTCCTTTTGTTCAGGTTTCATGATCGGTGATGGAATTCCTCGACCTTTCTGCCAACCCATTGCATGCAGCTCAGTTCTAATTGTCTCCTTACAGACAGCCACAGTTCCTCTATCAATCATATACAGCCTTAAGTTTTCTAAACTCCTTCGTTTGTTTTTAGAAACAAGAATACCAAGCCGCCACCTATCACCGACAGTCAATTTTCTGGGCCTACCTGCGCCTCCCTGGTGCTCAACGCCATGTCCATTTGCAATATTTTTCAAAACACGATAAACAGTGGACAAAGGGATACCTGTTCTACTTGAAATCACTTCAGCTGATCTGATGTCCTTGTT